AAAATGGTCGACGAAAATTTGTATCCGTACACACACACAGACACATACATCCATTTTTCTAAGGTATGCCAAAATATTCAGAAACCTCAGAAACGTAAAGATGTATAGAAATTTTCATTTTCGATTTTTGTGCGATTACTATAACTTGTTCTACGGTAAGTTAATTACTACACACCTTTGCACAAATCGTGTTAATTACAGTTTATTATACCTGGTTATCTACCGTCGTTATTTCATATGTAAGCCAGATATTCTATAGCAAATATAGAATGTCTACATTTTTTGAGTTCTCTATTTTTCACTACGAAAGGAGTGACGCTGTTATACATGCATGTAAAACATTGAATATTTTCTATTTGATACACAAAATATTTTTTGATTTTTCAATCATTATCAATAGAAATGTACTTAATTATTAAAGATCACACTTATAAAAATAAAAACTATTAAAAGGAATTAGAATACTCAATAACTTCACTTAGAGTGATACATATTAAAGAAAAATTTGTCATAATGGTTGTACACAAATACCAAGCGGATGTCGTCTATAGACGACGCTTGTAGCAAAAGGGTTTATTGTGACACATGAACATATATACGAATATAATTGTTTGTTTAGTTTTTTTTAATAGTAATTCAGCATCATTTTCTCTTTGAATAGTTGAAAACAGTTAATTTATGGTAATTTAAAATTGTTATTAACGTATAGGTAAATTCCTGATATAGATATATTGTTTATGTGTGTATTGGGATGTATGTTTATGTAAACATACATAAAGTTTAATGATAATAATATCGACTTACCTGAAATCCACCGTACGTCCAGCTTCCGAATTTCATCTCGCAGCGTTGATCATCGAACGGAAACCACGTGATGTCGATCTTGCAAGTGCTTTTGAATATTCCAGGCGGAACATACATGCACGAACCGTTGTTTCGCACAACGACATTCGTTGGGTATGTACCGTCGAAACCTTCATCGGCACTGAAATAAAAGAAAATTTAGTTAGAAAGGTGACATTGTTTATTCGTTTACTTATTTATTCGGGACAAAAAACCTACGACGGAAATAAGAGAAAACCTTCTTTCACGCTGTTCAGATATGTTATAAATTTCAACTGCTCAACGTTTTCGTATACATAGGTTTATTCATCAAACAAACAACAAACCCCATCTACTTCAATATTGTTCCAATCATATTAGAGATACTGAAACGTCTTTCGCAATAGCTATTGCTCGATAGTTCCTTAAAATTAAACATTTTTTACAATATAATATACATATATATATATATATATATATATATATATTTGAAAATTGAATTATTTTCGCGACTGTATAACATGCAAAAATCTATTATAACAATTCTGTCAGATATTGAGCGTCATTGTTTAAGTCTTCAGTATCCAGTTCAAGCGTGTTTTGCACCTTCAAAAGTTCAGTTCAAAGGTTTCTCTCATGTTTTTAGGTACCAGTTAGGAATCTAGTGATTTCAAGACATGTTATTGCAATAATCTAGTGTTTAATAAAATTTTGACTAATTTTTCAATTTTGTTCAATTTCGAACAAAATCATGTACTTGATCAATAGACAAAATGACATAGTACTATTTTTCTAGCATTACATAGCCAAAAAGAGTTCAATCTTGTCAAAGGTGATGGACTTTAACCTTCTACTCTAAATATGCAAAAAATAATTTTTGAAAACATTCTTAAAAATTAGAGTATCAGTATGTCCTTACCCTATGTCATTTTGGTCGTGCTCAATGGACAAAATGAGTTTTGTAATAGGTTGCATTTTTACTTAATAAATATATTTTTTTAAATAATGTTTTAGTTCCTACTTAATTAATTAATTATTAATTATTAATTAATTAATTTTTAGCCACAAATTTCATATTTCAAGTAAATTTTATTCGACCTTCTTGTAGATTAATTTTGAATTTTAATTCATTCATATTCAATTTTATCAAAAATATAATCAGCACAAATACTCCACGCTTCTAATACCGTTTGTTAATTAATATTCTTACAAGTAGTATTTTATACCCAACAATAAATTGACCTCGTTGACCTTGTATCATAAAATTGAAACCTCATATATTAAAATGACGTGATTTTTGTTTTGTTATTAATTATACTGTATAGTTTCAAATTGGTATTCTAATAAGTTTAAATTTTATTTCGACAGTTATATGATCATGTTTTACACAAAAGTTTGAATTTAGACAATCAACTCCAAAGAGGAAATGGGTGTTTTCACAGTACGGATTAACAATAATTGAACAGTGGGTAAAAACAGTACTTTACAAGGATAATCTGATACATAACTATCTGCAATTTGCAATTTATTTTTATGAAAAAAATCTTAACTTTATTAGACTAAACCTTGTAGCAAAATTTATCAATCTCTAAACACTTTACAAACTGTTACTGAATATTTTCTATGTAAACTCATTAAATTGAAAGCTTATCTTGCTAAATATTTTACTGAGAGACAATTACAATTATTTTCATAAACACACTCAACTAAAGTGGTTTCTGAAATAAACTCTGTTTGCATATTCTAACGCTTGTGGCATTTTGTGAACCAGATGCAAATCACAGGCAATCGCACTCCAGCAGCTCCTATTTACACTTCGTTACTTTTTTTAAAAGAAAAAAATGTGTTTTTAAAGAAACCCATTACGACCAGACAGTTAACTGTAGTTCGCATGGAGCTGTCTCATTTGCATTTAATAAGCAACGCATTCGAAGTTAGACGGGAAAATTGAAGTTTTCTCTTCAGAATTTCGTGGATATATTACATGTTTTAAAATAATTATATATGTTACAAATATTCATTTGGTGTTTGATGACCTGGCAGTCTGTTATTAACTTTGAACGATGTCATCTTGTTAAAGTGATGATTTGTTGTAAGTCAATTTAGAATAAATCATTTCAATATAAAATACACTTGTAAATTATGATAAATGTATACATTAACTATTTCGCAAAGAGAGTGTTTTCTGCAGGAGAGATACTGCGGTACGAGCCAACAAGCCGCCCAAGTATTTAACCGCTAAAATATGGATCAGTAAGGAAATTACCGGCTGGGGGAATTTCTAAAAGCCCTGTACCTGTTAGCAAATAACCTCATTGAACCCAAGGTTCAGATTGGTTATAAGAAATAAATAATACAAAAAAATATGGATCAGAACGTCCGTGTTATCTGATGCATTTATGACTCATTGTCAGTGGTAACAAACATACATGTTTTGCGGGCTGTATAAATTATTCAATTCAAAAACATGTATTTGTTACCACTGAGTCATGAGTCGTGCATCGGATAACACAGACGTCCTGGCCCATACTTTAGTCTCTACGAGATCAAGATTTCGAACACAAAAACCGTTTTGCGTACTCTAATATCATGCGATAGTGATATTGATTTTGATTTAAAAATAAAGATGAAAAACCAAATGTTTCCAAGTAAAATTATAAATTTTTCGTCCGTTTATGTGCAAAAAAGTATGCAAAATTCAACATGATAAAATTTTATGAAGTACAATAGTTGCATTCTTCAAAAATCTGACTTCATAAAAAGTATTTTGGTATATAAGGAGAAGTATGGGTAATATAGATAAAAAAGAACGTAAGTATAAGTGTTACTGTATTCAATTCATAACTTTCTTAGACTAGACCATCTAAACTTGTCCCTTTAGCATTGCATGATTGAAATCACGTCGCTTTTAAAGGGTTTGACTTGGGCCCCCGAAGCTTGAAGCAAATACTGTTAAAGTGCTTGACAATAGTTTTAGCTGGTAAGTTTGGCCAAGTGATATCTATTATACGTGCTGTAACCTAATCTGCATAGTTGTCAGGGAACTCGTTTCGAAGTTGAAATCGAGAATGGCGCAACGGCAGACGATGCCTGTTACTGAGTATTGCACGTTGTCAAGTGGTTCAGGGGTAAAGAACCTGCAACTGACACATCGGGGGTTACCGTTAGTAATATTATCTTATTATATACATCTATAGTTCCACGAACTTATACTTTATATCAACACCCTTTATATCAACCTTTATATCAAACGTTGTAACTGTTTTTTTTGTCAATTTTAATTTTTATATTACCATGATAAGAGACCCTTTATTTGTTATGATTACCCAATCAATTGTTAGATTTATTTCATTTTATATAATCACTGTTCAAATTTCCATAAAGTTTCATCTAAATATAATTTCAAAGTCTTCTCGTAATAAAATTATATAAAATTATAAGTTAAAAAAGATGACAGAGCTTCTAAATCATGTGTTATACACTTAATAATACTTTGGCAATCGAAAAATTGTCCAAAGAAGACGTTTGTAAGAGGACGCGATAAAAATGTTTAAGTAACTTAAATATGTTATTTGAATAGTGTAATGTGTAAACTTATAATATCTCATTTTTATTAGAACTTTACATTTTTAATTGAAAATGGAAAGTTTTCTTACATATTCAATAATTAGCAGTATCTCACTTTTTCATTTCACTTTGCAATTATTATTGGTCGAATTCTTGGATAAAATAGTTGATAAATAATCGGTCTATGTTGTGTAGCCGCATAAGATACGAAAATGCCAAGAAGCTATGTCTATGGTGCTAACCTCCAAATGACATATAATGTCGAAATATAACATTAGTTCTATTATTTTATTTTAAGGTGCAACAAATTGTAGCACTTGAAACACCACATGAGTTACGCTTAAAATAACTCGATATTATCCCATAAATCTTGATTTAATTTAGAAAATAAATCATTATAATATTTATCAAATCTACTTGTTGTTACACAATATATTATGCATATAAGCGTAAAAACTTTTCGAACTTGAATGCATTTAAGCGCCATGGTATTTTGAGTTCTTAAATATAACATATTTAGTATCCAAATATAATATAAACTAAATATGTATTTTAGGGTGGTCCTCAATATGGCCATTTTCGAATTTCCTTGCTCCCAAGGGCTCAAATGGTTCCAAATTGATAAAAAACAATTTTCTGAAAGTTTTAGCTTTTAATATTGTGTTTTAGATAGAGCGCAATTCAATCAAACTTCGTATGGAAATTGCATGAAAAAAATTTCGAAAATTAAAATAAAATTTTTAGGTATAACTTAGCGACAAATGAATTAAAAGTAAAAATTTGTGTCATTTGTTAATGAAAATTCGACGCTCTGCAAGATTTTTGAAATTTTTTTCATGGTCTTTCCATACAAATTTTTGATATTTGCGCTCTATCTAAAAGACAATATCAAGAGCTAAAACTTTCAGAGAATTGTTTTTTATCAATTTGGAACCATTTGAGTCTTTGGAAGCAAGAAAATTCGAAAACATCCATATTAAGGACTACCCTAATGTATATATTAAAAAGCTATTAATTTTATTACACTAAGCTTTATATTTTAGATTGTTTGATTTTTACTAAATATTTTTTATCTTAAAATAGCAGGAAACTTTTTGATAAAATGGACTAAACAAATAATTAATTTTATTGAAATTTATATTGATTTTTAAATTTACTTTTTGTTTTAATTTAATGAATGGAAATATAGAAAATAGGGCTAAAAATTAAATTAATACAGTAGAACCTCAATTAACCGGACTAATTGTTGTCGATAGGCATCCGGATAATCGAAAATCCAGATAATCCAATGTATGAAGAATAATGTATTTATCAAAAATAACAAATACATACATAGATATCAACGGAAATCAATTTAATAAGAAATTAAATGTCCTTATGTATGTACATATATATTTTCTTAGATTATATTACATACATATACTAAACTGCAGCATAAATCGTGCAAAAATTCTAATTGTAAGTATGTACATACATATAACTCTGTCGCGGTTGGCATACAATATACCTGGACATATATAGAGTGCAGGTTCTACTGTATTTGATATTTTAGAGTGTGTGATTTTTTTTTGGTTCAACAGCAATCAGAACTACTTG